TTAAAATACTAAATTCACAATTTAATAAATAGATTAATTCACTCATTCACAGTTTAACACAAAAATTCATACAAAATTCACAACTTAATACAGTACATTCACAAATTATTCACATATTAATTTAATATATTCGCAGTTTAATTCAAAAAATTCACAACTTAATACATAAATTTCACAACTTAAAACAGAACATTCGCAAATTAATACATACTATTTATAGTTTTGCTTCCTCCTAACATCATCAAATATGGACCTCTAACAATTTAGCAAGCTCCAAAAATCATAGTTGTGTAAAAAAAATCATAGTTTAATAAATATATCATAAATAATATTAAGTGGTTGAATAAAAAGAGTAGAGAGCACGGAGATAGAGATAGAGTGAGCATTGAGCTTTTGAGAGATTAAGAAAATAGTAAGTGGAGAGACCTCAAGATGCAAAACCTTAATACATACTATTTATCATTTTGCTTCCTCCTAACACCATCAAATGTGGACAACATTAAATGTGGTGCTCTTACACTTTACCAAGCTCCAAAAATCATATCTGGAAAAAAAAAATTAAACTCACAATCTAATATACTACTTCATTTTTAATTCACAATTTAAAATGATAGTTCAGACACTCATTCACAACTTAAAAGACCAGTTTAAAAATTTATTCACAACTTTATATACTACTTCAAATATTGATTCACATCTTAAAATAAACCTTATTTTCATTGAGGCGTATCTATCGGTCTCACCGAATATCAGAGATAAGAGATGAAGGCATATCTGTCGGAGTTTCACCAGAGCGACGGGAAACAAAGGTGGTGGTAATTGACTGCGTTGGTAACCTTTGTCGGTGTTAGAGCTAAAAATTGTTAAACCTGATGCAGATCTACTTGTTTTTCACCAAAAATCATGGAGAATGAGATGTAGGCAAGCCCATCGTGTTTCACCAGAGCGAAGAGGCGGCAACGATGGTGGCGACGGACGTCGGTGGTGGTGTTCATCGGTTTTAGAGCTCAAATACATTAGATCTTATGCAGATCTAGTCGTTTGTCATCGTAGATCATGAAGAAAGAGATGGAGACGTGTTTTGTGTATTTCACCGAAGTGAAGAATCAACAACGGTGGTTATCAGTGATGGCTTTTGGCGACAATGGAGTTTTTTACTCGAGAATGTTGTATATATGTATTATTCTGTAATGAATGTTGTATATATGTAAAAACACTATATCAATGTTATTATTCTGGAATGAATGTTGTATATATGTATTATTGAAGTAGATGCGACCTGGTCCTCCGGTGGTCTAATGTCGTGGCTATGATTGCTCTGGGAAGACCTGCGAGGGTTTCTTTCCCATGAATTTATGAGATAGGGTTCCGGGAAGAAGGCCCCACGTGAAGGATCCCGCTATATTAGCCCTTCATTATGCCCTGGAACGTCCAGAGTGGGGTTGGTGAATCTGGCAAAGTATTCTCTCACCATCTCTACCTCTTTTTGTTTGTAGCCGATAATGGAGTGCGAGTCTCCCTTATATTTCCGCAGTTGCATGAAGTTTGTCAGGAAGAGGTACTGCAGCTGGCCAAAGTTGTAGATGCTTCCTGGACGAAGCGTCTTAAACCACGTTCCTGCATTGTCGTCTAATGTTGTTGGAAAATATGTGCACCAGAATCATTCGTCTAGATACAACGAGGTCATGGTCCACTCGTACGTATTGATATGGCTATCTGGGTCTGTAGTCCCATTGTAGGTTTTGAGGTGTGGTAATTTTGCAGTGTTCGGTATTCCGTAGTCTAAGAGCTCTTTCGCGAAAGGAGATGTCACACTTCTAGACAAGCTTTTGGATCTAAAGGATCTGGTTATGGTGAAATTGTTGGGCGGTGATGTATAGTTGCACCAACATGTTGTTATATGCTGAGAGATGTGTTGGAGTTGGGGTCATATAAGCTTTGAGGTTGAAATGGGAAGGTAAGCGGCGGATTTGTTGTAAATGGTTAGTTCGTTGTGAGCGGTTGGGTTGTTGTGAACAGTTGGTTTGTTACGAGCAGTTGAGCTGTTCATCTATTCATTGTTGAATAATAACATAAAAGTAGTGTTTTTTCATGTTTTCATTTTCGTTACTGTTTTTATTTGATATAGATATATATATATATATATATATATATAATATATATATACTATATATCTATCTATATATATAGATATAGATATATATATATATATATATATATATATATATTATAACGAGAGAGAGCGAGAGAGAGAGAAGATCGGGTCAGGACTTTTTTTAAAGTGAGGACTCTTTAAAAAATTGAAAAAAAAATACAAATCATAAAATCGAGCATAATACTATATCCAGGAGAAAAAAAAATTTTGGAAAAAAAATTGCATCATTAAAACTGAAGCATTGATCATTTTTATGATCCATAATTCAATTTTTATGATCCATGATTCAATTTTAATGATGAAAAAAAAATCTAATTTTTTCTCCCGGATATAATACTATGCTCGATTTTATGATTTGTATTTTTTTTAAGATGTCCTCACCTGAACCAACCACCAATATATATATATATATTATTATATATATTATATATATCTATATATATATATATATATATATATATATATCTTATATATATATATAATATATCTTATCATATCGTGAAAAAAACTGCATCAAGAAGTGCCCATTTTTATTATTCACATCCCATGATAAAGTTTGTCTTCTAGGAACTACCGTGTTTTAAATGGGATCTAAAGATTTTGATTGAAAAATGACAAATTCCATATTAAAATTGGCAGCTTCTGTTTCCAATCATAAAAAAAGGGTTTGATTGATACTTTCTTGTTGAATAAATCTTTATATCCGATAAATCATTGAAAAAATAATTAATCATTGAAAAAATAATTGAAATGATAACCAATGAACGTATTGTGTTTTCTGTAAAGAAAAAAATAAACATCATCTCTCACATCCTCTCCAACCGGTATCAGGTGGGAGGGAATGGTACATATAACATCTCATGCTGCCATATCAATATTGTTATGTATATCTTACGTCACAGTAATGTCAAATTTGTCATATGTTATTTTGAGGTTTGTATAAAAAAAAATTAATAAAAGATAAATAAATTTTATACCCTCACACTTTCCCTCTCCTCTCATCTATCACAAACCTACTTTTTCCATGTCATGCCATGACGAGGGGACAATATATGGCATGCATGTCATGGGCTTGCCGAGTTAAATGTCACCCCAAACCTTCAAACCTCATTGTTAAGATAAGAATTGTGAATCTCAATTCCTTCCAAATAGGACCGGTCCAAAGATGTAGTGAGCTCAGGACGAAAATAAAAAATAGGTCTTCCAAGTCATAAGTAAAATAAAAATTAAATCGAAAATGGATACACTATTATAAAATTCACTATTAATATTAAAAAACACAAATATGATCACAATATTATAAAAACAACTAATTAAAGAAAACTACTTCTTCTAACATTTTTTAGATAAGATAATTTTTTCTTTATGGACGTGTTTGGCAAAACTAGCTAATAGCGGGTAGCTGGTAGCGGGTAGTTTTTGATTTTGGAGCGTTTTGTTGAAAGCTACTCCATGTAACTTTTGATTTTGGAACGTTTTGTTTAGGCTAAAAGTTAAACGTTCCCATCGCCGAACGAGGTTTTTTCTTTTTTACTAGCGTTTTCTTAAAAGATAGAAGTCAGAAGCTCCCAAAAGCTACGTGCCGAACACACCCTATATAAATCACATGATCAAGAAATTTTGTGCGCCTAAAAGATATGGGCCCTAGACGACCGCTCGTATTGCCCATCGTCTGGGTCGAGCTTCCAATGTAAGTTTGAATCTTCGGTTACCGTTAGACACTAACATAATTAATTGATTTGATTAAAGAAAACCTTAAGCATGCCACAAGAAAACAACTCATTTGAGACCATAAAAAATAACTCTTCAAATTCAACGACGGATTTTAAAATTAATAAAATGTGTCGATGTAGACACTCTATAATCAATCCATAAGACAATCTCTTTCCCTCGTGTTTTTTATAGAATTAGGACACTTTATTCTCTTATATCCAACGAAAATGTCAAAATATGTTTTCAAAGTTTTTATGTTAGAAATAAGTATTTGATAATGATACATTATTTTACGAAGTAAATTACACAATTCGTCTTTCCTCCAAATGTCAAAGTGTATGTTTAGTCCTTAATTTCAAAAAATTAATATGGACAATCTTTGTAATGTTTTTTTTTCACTCGGACCGTCCCTACCGAATATAAAATGACTACTTTACCCTTTTCATTTCTTTTTTGATATATTTTTTGATTTATTTGTTATTAACAATTTAAAATAAAAAAAAAATAGGTCCACCGCCACAAACACTTATCCTCTACCTTAACCCCACTCACACATTTCAATCATTCACCGATTCATCTTCTTCACTTCATCTTCTATTTGAGAGATGAGTCGTTGGAGCTAGAGAGATATGGGTCATCGGAGCCACCACCGTCCTCACCACCACAGTTGTCGTCAGAGCTACCAGGAGAGAGAAATAGAAGACCATTGATGTATTCACATGTGTACCACATGCACAAGGCCGTATTCACACCTTTGCTATCGTCTCCACCTGCACACCGTGGGCCATCTCCAATTGCACATCGATGTCTTCCAACCATCGTCGCAAGGTCCCTCTCACCACCATCGACATAGATTGGTACTCCGAAACCGACTCGATCTTCTCACATTTACACCACCATTACTCTGAGATCTTCTCATATTTACTCGGAGATATTTCTCTTATTTATAGGTCGGAGATCTTCTCCATTCGCATGTCGCCACCAAACCATCTAGGATTTGCAGATCTACACTTTAGATGCAACTCTCTCGTCTATGTTTTCATATCTACCTAATGGTGCTTGTTGGATGTGAAAGGGGAAGGTGTCGATGGTGACAGGTGGTGGTTATTGGAGCTAAGATAGAGGTGGTTGGTGGTAGCTAATGGTCGGAGGTAGGTGTTGGTCGGAGGTATGTGTTGGTTATAACTCTTCATCTTCTTTGATGTTTGTTGGTTGGTGTAACACACTTGTTCAGGTATTTTCCTTTTATAACCTCAAGAATGAAATTTTGTTGCAAAATTGGTCCCATGGTTCATTATGAGAAACGCACCTTTTGCTACGTACGTTGGGCGCACACTTATATACGCTAGGTGTACGTGGCTGATGCTCAACCCTAATTTTTATGGTTTGGACCCTATTTAAGCATCATTAACTCCTCAAGACTTGTTCCCTCGTCAGCCTTCACCTCTCATTTTGTCCTTAGCAAACCCTAATTCCTTGTGTGAGCCTTTGTGAGCTTAAGAGTGTATGTGTGGTGATCTTGAAAGAATGAGAAGGAAAGGAAACCACCTTGGAAGCTCAAGACCTCTTGGATCCAGAGGTTTCTTGCCCTCAAGCATCATTTGAAGGTATAAAGTTTGGATCTTGATGTGTTCTTTGTCGAGATCTTGCTAGCCTTGAGTTTATGTTCATTTTGGCCCCATAAGCTCGGTGTGCATGAGTATGGATTACTCTAACCAGAAGAGTTTTCCTTTCAGGCGTTTTTACGTCTTAGGAACCATAAAAATGTGATATTGGCCCTTCTATTCCTTTCATGCAAAAGTTGTGATGTCTTACTAGATCATTAAGTTAGGGTTTTAGCTTTTGGGCATTGTCTAGCCATGGAAAGTCATAAAGGTGGAAACTTTATGACTTAAGCCGATGTTGTGAGTCTAGATCTGAGTTTGGATGGAAAGGGTTTAAGGAATGAGCTCTTGTTATGAAAATTAGATTTAGACGTAGTACGTCGGGTGTACAAATGGGTACGATGCACATACTGCTTTAGAGGCCCGTGGTTTTGGGTGGGTTGCATTTACGCCCAGCATAACAGCTGAGTACGTCGGGCATACTCTGCCTGAGTTGAATCGATTGACTTTTTGACCTTTGACCTTGACTAGGATTTTGACAAAGTTTGACCTAGGGGTATTTTGGGTATTTTGAGCAATAGTTTGTGACTAGGTCATTGCTTGTTGCATAGGTGATCTGTGGAGTCAGCAGTTGGAGTTGTGATCTGTTCAGCTATCTGTTTGGACTATGAGGTGAGTTTTTCTCACTGTAGTTATGGATCGAATGCACCAATGCCGGACCACTGGATTATGTATCCTGGTATATTGTATTTATGTTATGCTGAGTATGTGTTAGACTGGTAGATCTGTATGATCACATGTGTAAACTGAGTATGCGATAGATTGGTAGATCTGTATAATTGCATGTACTTGTTGGTTATTGAATGTTATTGTATATGTCGACATGTTATGGTTTGTTGGGTTGAGGCGGTCCTGCTTTGTGTTGAAGGTCAAGATACCCAGGACGGTCCAGATAAACTGAAGGCCTGTGAGGCGGTCCAATCAGGCCGAAGGCCCGAAGAGCAGTCCAGATAGGTTATAGGCCCTACGAGGCGGTCCAATCAGGCAGAAGGCTTATATATGCATGTTGTTATCTATATTGGTGGTGTGTGGTACTTTAAGGGGGACTCACTAAGCTTGGCTTACAGTTTAAGTTTTATGTTTCAGGTATTTCAGATGATCGGGGGAAAGCAAAGGCATGATTGTGCACATCCTTCTGATTTTACGATATTTGGTTTTGGGATACTCTGATATGTGATTATTACCTTTGGGAACAATGTTTTATAAACGATTATAGCTTTTGGTTGGATTTAGAAAATAAAAATTTCTTTAGGATGTTACAGTTGGTGGTAGTGGTGTCGGAGAACGTATCTAGTGAAGTAGGGAGAACGAGAGTGTGAGAAGTGTATGGTTTTGTTGGGATATCAGTTTTCTAGATTTACAGATTTTCGGTGGGTAGTCGGCCGACGAGTAGGTAGTAGGAGATGGTGGCTGGTGGCTAGCCGGCCGGCGAGTGTGGATGTTGTTTCTGAAACTTCAAAGGAGTAGGTAGGTTTAAGCGGGGTGGTGTATAGATGGTTGACAACTTTTTTTCTTTTTTTAATAAATTGAAAAACAAGCTATAAGTAAAGTAGAAAAAAGAAATGAAAAAGGTAGAATAGTTATTTTATGTTCCTCAATGATGGTCCGAGTGAGAAAAAAAAACTTTACATGAATGGTCCGAGTTAATTTTTGAAATTGAAGACTAAACGTACAATTTGACACTTAGACGAGGGAAAATCATGTAATTTGCTCTATTGTAAAATAAGTTAAGCATGAGTTTTATATTTAATTTTGTTTGGTTTATGAAAAACATAGTTTTATGTATAAGGTCAACACTGCTGATTTATACTAACCATTAAATCATAATTGAATTCGTTAACTATTGATCTCAACTTATTTTGCGACCATTGAATTATGTAACGACGAAAAACAGTACCAATGTTTGAACCGTAATAAGATATTTTTGTAGGAATGTGATTCCCTCATCGTAAATTGAGTTGGTGCACTTATTATTTGTTTCCCATTTGACAAAAAGCAATGGAGGTCAATAAATCGTGATTAATAATAATGGCCCAAAACCATCCTTAAAAGTGTAAAAACTGTTTTTCCACACATGGACCATCTTGATTTTGATTGATGTGTGAATGCTTATGGCACTTCACCTTTTCTACCTCTTTGAATCGTACAATAGAACATAAATAAGATACGTTAGTTCATTTTTAAAGTCGTGACAATTGGAGAACCAAGATGTTTACATTTCCCATTATAAAACATATTTTTTTCTAGTCTTTATCCGGTTTTTTTAAACCAAATTTTATCTGGATATAATCGGCTTTTCGCATGATACTGTTAAAAGAAAAGTTTCTTTTTTCACACCAACGACTATATAGCTATTTATATCAATTGGAAACGCAACTGACGTCGGATCAAGGGTCTATACAAATGACAATATAGTTAAAAGTTCTTGAATGTTCTCAAAACTCAATTTCAATTTGTATGACATGAACATCAACCACAGAATTCCTTGATGCAAAATATGTGGCATGTATTGTAACAAGTGTTTTAGAATATGAGTGCAAATTTATAAGAGAAATTAAATATCCTTCTACTTTTCTTACTATTTATCTTGCTATCTATGTTAAATGCTATTTATCTTTCCATCTATGTTAAATGCTAACAAGTGTTTGAAAATATTATTAATTTTATCAAAAATATGACATGTGTCACCATTTCATATGGATAAAAATATAATTAAGAAGAAAATATAAAAGAATGTTTAATTTCTCAATTAGTGTAGTGGAAACGCTTTGTTTCGTATCTTTCTCTCTTAAGATAAGCCTCATTTCCTTGACTTTTTCTATTATGTTCATGCATCACAAGAAAACACTAATATATAATATATATATTCTATATATATATATATATATATATATATATATATTATATATATATATATATTATATATATATAATATAAGGTTATGTTGATGTAAGTTTTTTTTTTTTTTGTTTTAAAGTGGCTTTTCTACTTTAGCAAACATTGTTTTAGTTTATACCAAATATACCCTCCCGACTAGAAAGGTAATCATTTATATGAGTTAGGCAAACGAAAACCTGTCATGACTATTTTATCAGCAAACATCTTCCCGGTTTTGGGCATTACATGCCAATGCAATGTCATGTTGAAATCTCTTTCCCGGAGGTTACTTCCCTAAATATTAAAATGGAATTATTAAATGTAAGAAATAATGAAAATATAATGTTGTGATACAACAATGATGTAATATATATATATATATATATATACACAAATGATGTTTAGTAAAATATTTGAGAAAATAAAATGAAAGGAAAAACTACATAAAGAAAATGATGGATAGGGGTAAAGTGGTAAAAATACTACTTACTTGATCAACGAAACGGTATTTGTTAGTTGTATGGATGTAGAATCTTGCATGCTCTTTGGCAGGAATGATACCATCCCACAAAGATACCTGTTAAATTAATTAATGCTTTTTATTATGCAAATGCAAATCTAACTAAAGACACAAATACCCTCAAGAGAAACTTCAATCAAACTTAACTACAATGTCCAAAATCAAAATGCAACATTTTTCTATTATGGATTGTTCTAACAATAGAGAATAATTTCCTTCTCTTTCTAATGGAGACAAGACATAACTCCTAACAATTTACAAATTTGCCCTCATTTATTTTTTTTCCTTCCAATTCCACCCGTGTGTCATAGTTTTTTAAACACATCCAAACAAAAAAAAAATAGAAACAAGGATTTTAAATTGTAAATTACGTTTTTGTCCATTAGTAATATAAGATTATTTAATATTTATGTTACCACAGTTTTATGTTTTTTATGTAGTTCGATTTTAGAACACCATTTAAAACCCTTAAAACGATGATCCTAAGTTTTTTTTTTTAATATAATTATAACTTCATGAACATAACATGGTTGGAGAAAAAACAAACTTACCTGATTTAGAGAATTCTGTGGGGTTTCATACTCTGCTGCTAAAAAGACAAAAATCTACAAACACAAGGCATGTGATTTGTTAGATGAAAATTGTTGTTTCTTTTTGTGTGCGAATTGAACAATCTAAAAGACAGAAAATGACTATTTTACCCCTCTATCTGGGATAATCCTTAATAGAATGATAAATAGTATGCGCTGACTTACTCTACTTAAATGTTTGAGCAACAAAACAAGAGAAGAAAGGATGAATGCAACATTGTCAAACATATATTTGTAAAAACATTTGAATTTTTCAAACCTGTTTTGTATTCCATGTAAACAATGATTGTAGATCTGCTGATATATTCATTGTCATGCTGAGCTGTAGAAAAGAGGGAACATGTACATCATTGCAAATTATTCAACAATTTTGGATTGCAAGTTTTATAACATACAAAGAAATTACTACAAAGAAGCTCATACAAGATTGATTTGATTCTACCTTATACAATACAAAACAGTAAAATAACATATGGATCATTATAGATAGCTAACAGCAAAAATACTAGGCAAAAGGAAGAAAAACTGATAATCTTGCAATGAAATGATACTCTTATCCTTAGAAAGAACATATAATGTGGTTAGAAGCCTATATACTACAACAAAACAAATTTCACAATTAATGGATTTAACAAGCAGGAAACCGGAATTGAATTCCAGGGGTTTGAGGATGGAATTTCGAAATCCTTCCATTAATGGATTCTTTTGAATTCCAACGGAGTTCAATTCCATACTCATTTTCAAGTTGCAACCAATAGCGGGATTGGAATTTGCATGCATCATGTTTTGCAGCATTCAAAATTGTTCTCACCACACTAAAATATTATAAAATCAACAAACATTTTTAGCTATAAAACTAATATTATCTGCATCAATTTCGAAAAACGAAGACACAGGTTGAATTTTCAGAATCAAAACTGACCTCTTTTGGGGAAGGAGGGAGTAGATTAAATTAATTTAAAAACAATTAACACATAAAGGAATATACGAAGAATAAGAATCAGCTACCTCGTCATCGCCATCTGGCTTATTCCGGAACCAATTGATGTTCAAAACCTAAACCCCAGAAAATCAAACCAATCAATTTCCTCAAAAACCCAAACAAATTACATATAAACACGGATCGTTACTGTTCGAGCATACATACATACATACATAGAGAGAGAGAGAGAGAGAGAGACCTGGACTTGTGAGGTGGGAGAGGGAGAGTTGAAATTGTCGGAGACGGAAGCGATGGCGCACATTACGGCGAGTATTGTAACCGCGAAAGTCAGCAAAGCGTTGGCTCTGTATCCGAAGGAATGCATCTTCAATGCCGATCCTGATGCTTTGCTAATTGCTCTCAGAGCTTCTGCAAATTCCGATTAGGGATTCTGGTAGTACCGCTGGAAAACTAGTAACCGATGTTCCTGGACTTCGAAGACCTCCGCCGTTTTCAGCTTTCTTTCCTTTTTCCTTTCTACTTTTTTACAACTTTCTCCTTTTATTTTTCAATTTTATTCATCCAGAGCCATTTCATTTTAATACTTCCTCCTTTTTAGCATTTCATTTTCCTCACGCTCTTTAAAATCCTCAAAATATTCACATTTTATTGTTTTATATTTTATTTTTCTAAACCTCTTTTATATTTATATTTTATTTTATTTATAAAAAATTAAAAACCATAAACTTTAATATATTTTTATAATTTTTTAGTTTGCATGTAATTTAATTATATATTATAAAAACAAAAAAAAGAAAAAAGAAAATGTGAGGAAAGCACCTCATGAGGTAACAACCGCATTCGGGATGTGTTTTTTGGTGAGATGAAAGTGTCAGATCTGCAATCTTCAAACCACAGGGTGTGGTGAATCCACTTCGTATAGTCTTATTGATTTTTTATAACATTCCAAAAAAAATAACAAAATTTTTCATTTTTAAAAGACATTTTAATAAAACCATATGATAGTCAAAACATTATTTTCAAATCAAATCCATAGAAATCATAGTATCAAAATAATCTCTCAATACATAAACCAGCAGGAGCATGTGTACGATCATGCCTTCATCTTGTCCCGATCATTTGAGGTGCCTGAAAACATTGAAATTCACAACTACAAGTCAAAGCTTAGTGAGTTTCCCCAAAATAACTCATGCAACAATACATATACAATGCATGCACACCATGTTGGTGATTTTAGTGTCACCTAGCATTTTGTGTAATTGGAACTTACATATGAGCTAAGGGGCTTATCGTTTGTACTCTATATTATAAGTTTGGTGCATGCGGAATGCATGCATATATAAAGATCGAATTATAAATCGGTACGATAGAATGACAGGGATCAAGGGGCCTTCTTGTAGGGTCCTAGGGGCAGCGCCCCTAACGGGGTCCAAGGGGCAGAGCCCCCTGGCAGTGGTCACATTGATTATAGAAAATCTGAATTCTAGTGGGTGATTATGGTAAGATTGACAAATCTTATCAGTTTTGGTAACCATTGATTATGCCATTAATTTCGAGATTTGCATAACTAATTTAGAATATAACCCTAATTTGTCATGTATTTATACGGCTCCTCTTTTGAGTCGTATACAAAACCCTTTTCTCAGCTCTTCTTCTTCTAAACGAAACTCAGAACTCTCTGCGATTTGGCTAGTGTTTCTGTGCCTAGATACACAAGTGTCCTTTGGGATTATCCTAGACTGGATTTCCTGTAACCCAGGCATAGCGTGGAAATATCAGTTCGGAAAGTGAACATACACAATCTATAAGGAATCCAAATTTCCACCATCACCCTACTTTGATATATCCTCCAACACACTACACCCATAATTTAAAATTGGATTACCCCAGGGCCCACAATCATCATATTGGATTGTCTACAGGCCCATAGTCATAAGAATGGATCTCCCCTGGGCCTAGAAACACATGGATGGATTGCCTCGGGTTTACTAGCCTACAACACAAAGTCGTACTGCCTCAACCCAACTACACTATGTCGACATATGCAAACAAATAAAAAATAACCTACAAATACAGGTAATCATACAGATATATCAATCTAACAGATCACTTACGGTATACCAACATCTTACACACAAGGACACATACTACAGTACAAGATATGGTAAGAAAACTCACCTCGCAGTCTAGCAAATAACAGTACTGATCACAGATCCACTAACCTGCACTACAGGTCACCTATACCACGGTTGACAAAACTCTAGATCTAACATTCTTAAGCTAAAAATAAAGGAACCTGAGGAATTACAACAGTCCTAAGGCAGTTAAAGATGATGAGGAAGTGGCTTGCTAGTTCAGATGATGCACCAAAACACATTCTCTTCTTCTTCAAGGCTAAAAAACACCAAAGAGGAGCTCACAATCAACAAGGGAGGATTACGGTGTTCTTTAGGGTGAAGAGAGGTGATGGAGGTTGAGTGCGTGTAAACCCTAGTCCTTATTTCACTTAAATATGGCACAAGCCCCGAAATTAGGGTTTTGTATGTTGGGTTGTCACATCATGACCAACATGTTGTCATGTCGTGACACCTAATGAGATGCGTGTTCTTTCCTAAGCATCACCACCTCGTAACACACATATGGTCACGTGGTGGCCAAGTCTTCATCCTTTAAAACTTAATTGATAAACTCATAAATAAGACCTACCCGAAACTAGGTGTTACATTTTTTTTTCATCTCCATAACTATTACAAGATTTTACATTTCATCGACTTGTATATAATTGTTTTTCGATAATAGTTATAAAAAACTCTATTTGTTATCTTTAAAAACACTATACTACTTTTTCGTATGTTTAAACCATTTTTATTTTCTAAAACTACCTAAGTTTATTTTATTTATTAGATTACCATCAGTAGCAGTAGGTTATCACTTTCTTACGTGTATTACACATTTTTTCTAATTTTCACATATATTAAATAGTAATCAAGAATGATAAAAACTAGGGTTTATGAACATCCGAAAAAGGCTTCATGGAATTGGGTGGTAAAAGCCATGGTTAATATACGGAAATCACAGAAAGCTCTATAAGCCTCAAATAAAATGAAAAATCATATTCGTTTGTAGCTTCGTTAATACAGTTACTTGGTATTTTTTTAATTTATGGTTTGTAATAACGATGCTTCAACGAATATGTATGGCTTCAACTTTAAACGTTGAAGTTGAAGTTGGTGTGAAGGGTTTGAATGAAATAGATGATGGCTCCTATGAACTTTCTTTAGATGATTTTGTATCAAATATTTTTGGATTGTCTTTAGATTATGATGAAGATGAATATTATCGTCCTTCAACGGACAAAATAATTTGTGATCCTTTTTAATGACTTAGTACATGGAAATGAGATTACCATATATATATATATATATATATATATATATATATATATATGTGTGTGTGTGTGTGTGTGTTCAAATGTTTCTCACATCTATTGTGTGCTAGAATGCACCAATAAGAATTTAGTAAAAATTAATTATTATTTAATCAAATAAAGATAAATATTAAATGATTTCCATAATTATATGTATATTAAATGATATCTATAATTATGATTCTTTTTATGCAAACTAATTAAATTTCTCATTAATGTCAGCAACAATATTCTTTCATAATGAATTCGTATAAAGAAGAATGAGATTGTATTATAGCAAAATGAGAGTGTATTCTAGTACAATACACTCTTGTTCTTCATATTCTATGCAACTTTATTATATTTTAAGTGAGTGTCCTGAAACAAAATACAAATCCATACATAAAAACCTAAATATGAATTCATTTTAAAAGAATGTTATTGCTGACATTAATGAGGAATTTAATTAGTTTCCATAAAAAGAGAATTATAATTATGGTTATCATTTAATTTACTTACAATTATGGAAATCATTTAATATATATCTTTATTTAATTAAATAATTATTTAATTTTATTAAATTCCTATTGGTGCATTCTAGCGGACAATAAATATAAGAAACACATTAACCTAACCCTATATATATATATATATATATATATATATATATATATATATATATATATATATATATCTATATATATGCGTGTTTCTCAAATCACTGTCCAGATTAACATGTTTGTATAATAATGCAAGTCTTTCCTATGCAACTCATGAATTGGGATAAGGAGAAGCTTTCCAACAATATGGAGAAATGATAGATGGTAAAATATCTATCAATAAGGGCTGTATTTCGAAAAGAATCAATAATATTAGTGCATTATTTCAAGAATGTTGTGTGTTTTGGTTTGTATATTAAAAGAATGGAGTTGCAAATTGACCGTCTGTACATCAAGAATGTTTCATGTAGTTGTATTTTTTTTCTTTTATTTTTTAAATTTTCATGTATTCTTTTAGAATCATCCAAAATATAGGTTTGTTTTGTTATCTGAACATGTTTAACTATAGAATTGTTTGTCATTTTCTCTCATTCTTATTATTTCTTATGTATTATTACTCATTATCATTCTCAACCATTAATTATCGTATTCTTTCTTATGTATTATTACTCATTGTCATTTTCTCTCATTAATTATCGTATTCTCAACCATTATATTCTTAAAGAATGCACCAACATATATTATGTGAGAATTATCGTATTCTCAAAGAATACATTGTGCTTTGTGAAATTCTTATTTATGTTACCTTTTTACATGTTCTTTAAAAGAATGTGTCAACTGCAATAAGTATATGATTATTATTTTTATGAAATTTTTTATTTTTGAGAATATATGTAAATGCATTCTTTAACTTGAATAAAGTCATATTCTATCAGAATGAAAAGAGAATCTGTGTTCATCGTTATATAATATAAACATGCATTTTGATAATAAAAAAATGTAATTGTCCAGGATTAATTTTATAAAATAAGAAAAATTAGGATTAAATAAAAATCTCATCAAATTAGGATATAAATAAAGTATTTCTCTTTTTAAATATAAGGTAATAGACTAAAACACCTTATACTTAATTATGTGTATTGTTGACTACATGTTATCCTATGTTAATAAAGTGTACCCTGAAATCATAACCATTCATTTCTTTTAATCCAATAGATAAAAAGTGGTTATACATTTACATAATATTTGTAGTTCACATCTAATCTTAACATCTCTCTCTGTGACAACCGTCACTTTCTGGTAAAGTCAAAGTCAAAGAAAGTCAACAAGTCAAACGGCCAACTCAATTAACCCTTGTATATTATGGTTCACATTATGTTTACTATTGTACAACACACCATCCTAATGCAAAGTATTACTTAGGGTTTTCACGTGTTCAGAAAATCTAAACCCTAATCGGGGTAAAATGATGTAACTACTCAATATAATACTATTACATACCCTACGGGGGCGTATAACACTCATAACAAGGTTTAACGGGGCTTACGAACCTTGCATTTCGAGGCTAAACACTCACAAAGGTCACAAACAAAGTCTCTCTAAATCTCTCTCACCCTATCTCTCTCTCTCCTAAATCTCTCCCAAATCTCTCT